TTATATCAGAGAGATTATTCATTATGAATTTGTACCAACCGGACAGTCAGCTCACCAAGTTTACTATTTGGAAGTGCTGAAAAGGCTGCATCAAAAAGTTAGACTAAAATGACCTGAACTTTTCAACAACTATTCATGCCTCTTGCATCACGACAATGCACCAGCTCACAGGGCACTGTCTGTGAGAGAGTTTTATCCAGTAAAACTTCCATAAGTATTGGAACACTCTCCCCTCTCACCTGATCTGGCCCCCAGTGACTTCTTTCTTTACGGGAAGATAAAAGAAATATTGAAATGAAGACATTTTGGTGACATTCAGGACATCAGGGATAATACCAGAACAGCTTTCATGACCATTCCAGAAAAAGAGTTCCAAAATTGCTCTGAAGGGTGGACTAGGCCCTGGTGTTGGTGCATACCTTCCCAAAGGGAGTACTTCAAAGGTGACCATAGTGGTATTCAGCAATGAGGTATGTAGCACTTTTTCTAGAATGAGTTCTCAAACTTAATTGTCCAACTGTGTGTGTGTGTATATATATATATATATATATACATATATAGATAGATAGATAGATAGATAAAATGTATTAAGTATAATAAGAAAATGTATTAAGTATAGTATTAGAGAAAGAAAATGTACTATAGTATTAGGAAATGCTAACAACTACTTTTAAAATCCTGTCTTTCAGGAAAGAACGGTGACCATTAGACGACAAACTGTAGGAGGATTTGGATTAAGCATAAAGGTAGCCTATCCTTCCAGTCTATTCTTAAAAAGGTTGTGCTATAATGCTGCATTTTGTGTATTTTAATTTTTGACTAATTAATAATTAGACAAGAAAGGCTATATAGCAAGCTTCTTAATATTTGGACTTGGATGTAAATTAGGTAGGTTCTCAGAACCATGGCCACCTTTTGATTTAGAAATTTTACAAAAATATTTGGAAATTTTACTTTAGCTGTCATTGAATATAAGTCATTAAGTTCATCTGGTTTAATCTAAAATACCAAATATTGTGTCTTAGTGTGCATATCTCCCTCTAAGCAGCCAGAGTAGGAAATACTAACCTGTTAGTGAATAGAGCCAAATAAGTTTTATGCTAATAATGTCTTATTAGTAGTTGTTAGTTGTAGTCTATTCATCTTTTTCTTTTGTTTCATTTTAATTTTTACTGAAGAAAACTATTTATTTAAACTATATTTTAATCTGTTAATGTATGTCAAAATATGATTATTTATTTATTTATTTTGAATTGCAATGTTATTATACAAATCCTTTTACTTTGCTCTGACACATGTAAACTGGATAAACTACAACACAGTATTTGCACTATTTTCTTTAGATGTGAGATTTTAAAATATATGTTATATATGTTTTAATATTATTTTATATTAATAATTACATATTAATATATTATACAGTATGATTATATTATATATTTTATGTTATACAATGTAATTATATTTTATGTTATAAATTATATATATGAAATAAACAGTTTAAGAAATTATACTAGGTTAAATGAAGAATTACTATTTTAATTCTGATCATTTATCTATCTATGTATCTATTGCTAGAATAATTTCAGTCAGCTGTTACTATGCACATAATACATAAACATATATTTTATCCTTATTTGCTTCAGTTAAGCAATTACTGCTGACACACACTGGAGGTTGTTATAGTGAGAATTATTAATTAAAACTGTGAATATTTCAACTAGTGATAAAATAGGGAAAAACATATGTTAGACAATTGAAAAGGCATTTACCAATATACTTAAGAGTCTTATAGGTGCTCCTNGCCAGTGAAGCAATGTCCTCCACAACTAGACTGAAGAACAAAAGGACAGCAACTTGTCTGTTCCCCTTCCCCCAATTCCCCAGCACTGTTTCCATCCCCCAAATTCCCCAATAAAAATATTAAAAAATAAAAATAAACACCAATAAATTTAAAAAAAGAATGCTTAATTATCTCAGGGAGAGCTTCAACAAAGAGGTAGAAAATATAAAAATGGAGATAGAAAATGTAAAAAGAACCAGTCAGAAAATAAAGAATACAATAACTGAAATGAAGAATACATTAGAGAAAAGCAATAGTAGATTAGATACGGCAGAATATCAAATCAGGGATTTAGAAGACTAGCAGAAACATCCAATCAGAACAGCAGAAAAAAAAAAGAATCCAAAAAATGAAGATACTTTACGGGGCATCTGGGACGTCAAGTGTAACAACATTAGCCTCATAGCGGTACCAGGAGAAAAGAGAGAGCAGGGGATTGAAAACCTATTTGAAAAAATAGTGATGGAAAACTTCCCTAACCTGTAAATGAAATAGATATACAAGCCCAGAAAGCACAGAGAGTCCCAAACGAGATGATTCCAAAGAGACCCATACAAAGACACATCATTATTGAAATGCCAATGTTTAAAGACATTGAAAGGATCTTGAAAGCTGCAAGAGAAAAACGATTAGTTAGCTACAAGGGAGCTCCCATAAGATTATCAGCTGATTTCTCAACAGAAAATGCTGGCCAGAGGGATTGGCGTTAAATATTCAAAGTAATTAAAAGCAAGGACCAAGGCTGCTCTACATCAAACTATCACTTAGAATCGAAGGACAGATAAACAGCTTCACATACAAGAAAAAGCTAAAGGAGGTCATCATCACCAAACCAGTATTTTAAGAAATCTTAGAGGAACTGCTTTAAGATAAATATGTGTATAAATATATATGAATAACAAAATGACAATAACTATCAATAATTACTTGAAATGTAAGCAGAATAAGTGCTCCAATGAAAAATAAGGTGGCTGAATGGATAAGAAAACAAGACCCTTACATATGCTATTTACAAGAGACCCACATCAGATTGAAAGACACACACAAATTGAAAGGAAAGGAATGGAAAAAAGATATTTCATGAAAATGAAAACAAAAAATCTGGTAACAATTTCTATACCAGACTAAATAGATTTTAAACAAAGGCTATATATAACAAGAGACAAAGAAGGACCCAGTAATTTCACTTCAGAGTATTTATCAGAAGAAACCCAAAATGCTACTTTGAGGGGTTGTGTCATTTATATGTTTTTTGCTACCTTGTTTACAGTGGCTAACGTGTGGAGGCAGCTTGGGTGTCCATCGATGGATGATGGGATAAACAGTAGGTGGTACATATATACAATGGAATATTGCTCAGCTATGTAGGGACTGTGTTCTTGCCATCTGCAGCAGCATGAAAGGACCTGGAGGGTATTCTGTTGAGTGGAGTATGTCAGACAAAATAAACAAACAAAACAGAAACAAAATCATAGATATGGGAAACATTTTGATGGTTGCCAGATGGGAGCGTGTTTGGGGAGGTGTGTAGAAAGGGAAGGCATTAAGAAGTAAAATTGGTTGTTACAAAGTAGTCATGGGGATGTAAAGCATAGCATAAAGAATATAGTCAATAATATTGTGATAGCATGATTTGGTGTCAGATGACTCCTGGACTTATTATGGTGATCACTGCTTTAGGTACATAAATGTTGAATAATTATGGGGTACACCTGAAACTAATATAATATTGTATGTTAGTGATAATTTAATAAAAATATTTTAAATGATTCCAAATTACATCAAAAAAATCATTGAAAATAATTAAATTTTTAAAAGTTGAGTTCAAC